CTCTGGTTGAATGCAGGTTGGGCTTTAATTAACCTTTGATATGGCAAGTAACCGTTTTTCATCACATGCTTACCCCTTAAAAATGGAGTCCCTCCCTCAGTGAGTTCTAGAAACACAAGATCTATATCCAGCCATTCAGCAAAGATACAGCTACATGGCTGTACATCTTATTTTGGCATTTGACCAGTTAAATGAGTCCTTGAATGATATATTACCTACTTTAATTTAAGTTGAAAGAAAAAAGTTAACAAGAAATAAAAGGTAAAAAGCTAATTGAAAAGTTAAAAAGGTAAAATTAAAAAGTTAATAAGCCTAGTTTATAATTATATTTAGGTTTATAAAGTAACAAATTTTAAGTGCCAGTATCAGTATTAATGCCTCCAAGGTTATGTTGGACCAAAAATAATGTGTTACTTTCACTCTCAGTGTTTTTCATTAATTCCTTCTAGAAGCACTATTGTTATTTTTCTTAATATATTCGGGAAAGTTGGCGTTCGATCAAAATATCAATATTTTTTTATGTTTTAAAGGCAATAAAGGTCTTGTCCTGGATTCCAATAACACTACTGGTTTGAAATTTTGATTTTCAAAATATTTCACTGAGTGCCCTTAAAGGGTTAAAGAAAGTTACAAAAAGTTAAGGAATGGTAAAAACGAAAGTCCTAAATGCTAATTAGCCGAATGATTACAAACTGGATGACAATAAATTTTATATATTATTTACCTTTATTTGTCTAGACAGCTTTAAATTTCCTCCAGTCCATTTTATCTGGTCAGACTTAGTAGAGCGAAGCAACAAAGACGACCTTGGAGGGTTTTTAATGTTTGGACACAAAGGGAAGACGAAGGCCGACGTCTAAACAAAGAGGGAAGAGAAATGACAGATGGCATCTAATTTATCTCCTTTTCTCAGCAATGACGGCGCGACAGAAAGACTTTCAAAGTAGTGACAAAAAAGTTTGATTAATTTAAGAGTCTGGTTCTTTTGTTTGCAAAGAAACATCAGAATCCTCTGAGACAGGCCTGGTTAAAACAACGCTCATGCCAAGAAGTCCGGGAGTCGGTCCCTCATGGGTGGAATTCCTCCTTTAGCACATTCCATAGTTTTCTTTAATTACCCATTTGATGGTTTTGTATTTGCCATTAATCCATCACCAGTAAACAAAGCATGTGAAAGTGCTGCTAGAAGTGGGGTGAGCTGCAGGATCCCTGTAGAAAGTCTGCGGACATGCAGGGAATATATGAATGCTTGTTCTGTTTGGCAGCTATCATCTAGTTAGAGAAGATCATAAATCACCTGCGGACGGATCAACCAACAATAATAAACTGAACCAACTGAAGGACAGAAGAGAACAACCTTTATTCTGAGGCAGCGTTTGCATCTAAATATTGCACGGCAATAGTTATTAAAAACTGCCAAAGGAAATCTATTTTTAAAGTCGTAGGGAAGCGGGCCGTGTGGTGCCCGACTTTACACGAGTGAATAAAGTGAATGTGATTGGTTATCAAGAGGGCAGGATTGTTGTGGCAGAAGGTTTGCAAGCAAGACCACTCCCGTTGTCTCAGCAGGGCCAGAAACATCCTGAGGGATACCACCCACCCCGGCTTCCATCTCCTTAACCTGTTGCCCTCAGGCAGGCGCTTCAGGTCAATACGGACCAGAGCAAACAGACTCAGGGATAGCTTCTTTCCTAAAGCTGTTACCACACTCAACCTACGTTCGGACTTGCACTAATGTATATGTATGTACGTGTTATTTATGTGTGCACTTTTACGGAGCTGCTCTCCAAATCTCATTGTATTGTGTACAATGACAATTTACAGTTAGCAACTAAGTGCTAATAGGTTCCCAATGGGAAATTACATTGGGACCAAGTAGCACTAAATTGGTGACTAAAGGGCTGGTTATACTCCCGCAGCAGTGTGTCGCGATGAACTTGTCGCAGGTATGAGGCAGGCATTTTTGATTTATGCCCAATATTGAAGCGTGGTCTGTGCTATGTTATTCCAACCCACAACGCAAGAGGGACAATCAGGAAATAGCTGTGGGTCTAGATACGGCCGAGGCGGTGAGGAAGTGGGGGCAATTTTGTAAGACAACGGAGGGACATGAGGGCGAAAAAGAGCTGAGATCCAGGTGGAAAAAGGGTCCCAGCGTTCTTGTGCACCTTGCTCTTCTAGTTGGTCCAACTTCACAAGTCGTTTTCCACAATGGCGGTCATACAAACAAAAAAAGCCGGTAAGGTACCAAACAGGAAATATGCGGATGTAGATTTGACCAATCAGAGGCCTCCTATCTGTGGTCACCTACTATTTGGGAGAGGTGCAGCAGAGTGTCTGTGGAAGGGGCGGGGACGTCTCTGCGTTAACTGCAGCACACACGCAGACGACCAAGTTTCGAAGTATAAATCAGCCTTTAGCAACGACACTGTCAAGGAACGCTACGGACAGCGGACACATGCAAGAGGAGGAGAGTTTAGTGTCGGAGGTCGTGGATGAGTCTCCTCCATCATACATTTTTTATTTAGAGGAGGAAAGCGGGAATGAAGATGCTGTGGAAGAGGACGCCAGGGCGGCAGAAGCTTGGTTTGGTGTAGAAGGCTTCCAGCCGTACATGTTTGAGCCCTTGCCTCGCAACGCTGCCAGTTCTGTTAGCTCTACGCCTGCTGAAGACACAGACGTCCATCCCCGTGAACACTGGGACGGAACTCAATGGGAAAGGAAATTATTCTGATTTCTTATTTCAACCGTTGCGTATATTAGCTGCGACATATGAATCAAGATGCTTTGACCGAAAAAAAATTTGATTGACAGATGACCGCTGATATATGATTGGTCGAATTTAGGTGTTCAGGCTGATGTATAACTAACTGGCCTGCATAAGATAACGAGGGACAATATAGTCTCATAAAAAATACATTTATATACATGTTTAAGCCAGAATAATTTGACATTTAAATATAATTTACCTACGACTTTAAGGATATTTCGTCAACTATGACAAAAAATTATCAGTAACAGTCATGAAAAACAAAAATGCCAAGAAAAACAAGAAGAAACCTTAAACTTTGGTATTAAAAATATCTTTATTAAATTAGTTTAGTATCTACAGACTCAGTTTTATACATTATGCTTCAAAGGCATTTGAACTTTGGAAAGCTTTAAAACAAATCAAGTTTCTAGTTAATGAAAGAGAACAAGGCAGGAGTGTACATCTCTTATTTTAATGCCGCTTAGAATTCACATTTTCAAAATCACATAAACAGAAATTTTAAAACACAACATATATTAATAAATTACTGCATCTGTGGTTCCACTATAACTAGTCTTCAGGTAAATAAGGAGCCGGTGGCTGAAGTTGAACATTACCAGGCTTTAAAATAAAATGTGAAAATAAAGAAAATGGGTTTTCTAGTTAAACGAAATCTGGTTTAAGTAATAAAAATTTCTCTGGTATTCCACAGGGTTGAGTTCTTGACCCTTTCTTCTTGAATACAACACATCGTATTGTAAGTCTCAAAATATGGTTTATTCCTTTATTCAAATGTAAAATTTTAGTTGTAAACAAAGATAATATTTCGGGATAGGTTAAACAATTGATCAGAATTAATTGTTCAAGATCATATTTGTTTAATTGCACTTTTTATAGAGAGCAACCGTTAAGAGAGCATCAATGAATGGCAAATATCCAATATGTTGGTAACCGCAGCAATGATTATAAAATTTGGCACTGACATCATACCAGGCAGTACTTCAGATATTAAAGTGGAAGAATTTATTAATCCTACGGAAGCATATTGCATTACAAAATCTCATAACTATCAGATGCTTATCTCAATATCATGAGATCTTTTCAATGAGTGGGTTGTTGGATCTAATCTGCTTTTATTTCCTTTTAGGTATGCGACACTGCGAAATACTGAGTTTCCTCAATGTGGATGGAATTAGTTTTAGTTTGTCAGCATTGTGCATAAGTCCTTAGAATTTTTTAGGGGAAACAGCCCACTCTACTCTGACTTGCTGGAAGTCGCACTGTTCCTGCAGGAGCAATTAAACCAGCACGGGATGCTTTATGACTATAAATAAATGCATCTGAAATGCATTCCAACTGGCTTGGTGGTTTCCCAAACAACTTTCTGCACTGATGGAAAAGATTTTCCCGATTCTGATTCCCTTATCGATTCTGTGAAACAATGAACTTGGTAAGTGCGCGGTGACATTCGTCTACCTTCGCCTGGGACGTTCTATTTCTGCCTGCCTCAGCGAGAACAGAAGGCAGTGAACGGGAGCTGCAGCCTCTGATCCAGCCAGGCTACCTATCTCGTCAGTTATCTAAATCTAATAGAGAAGGCATCCTTTCAATGAAAAAGCATTACTGTACAATTTTTGGAACTAAACTCATCTCCCCCCGATTTAAATAAACTAGCGTCCACTTTCTCTCGCTCCCTTAACTGCAGAGCAACTTCGTAGCATGTTTAATAACCCCAAAGAGACGTAGGAAACTGGTTTATTTGCAGAAATGGCATATGATTTACTAGGAACCACATTAAGCAAAGCCAGTGACATAAAACTAGCTACTAACCACCAGAGTTACCTTCCATGCTGGTCGTAACTTTAGCTTCTGCCTGGAAGGCATCAAATCTTCCGTTTAAGTAATTTTGGGAAGGGGCGAAAATTTTGGTTAGCTGATTGGCCTATGTTGGTGATAGACGGGCCAAATAAACCAATCAGATCAGCGAAGCATATGACGTACTGACAGAGCGACGACGAAGAGGAGCCAATTGATAGATCAAACTCTTGCTGAAACCAGTCTGGAGAAGAGCAAAAACATCTTGTCCTCTGAGAAAAGCCTCCAGAGCAGTGTTTTGCTCTTCTTTCAGTGAAGAAATACTCTGTAATTCCGATAAAACTTGCTCGATAGCCACGCTAACGCTAGTTTCATCGGCTGAAGCCGCCATGTTCTTTAGACTGAACTGTCGCGCTTCTCGTTGCGTCACACCTCAACCCGCCTCAAAGCCAACGCTGATTGGACGTTCGTTTGGTGAACTGGTCCAAATTTTCTTTAACTTAGAGTCTCCAGACTGATCTGCGAGTGAAACCTTGAAAGCTCGCAAGATCAGGATGGTACCAACGCACATCAGGTCAGACCTCGGTGCAGAGAAATGTTCAGTGGGACAGATGCAGATATTTTTAAAAAGTAATCATGAAGACCAGTTTTCTGAGAGATGCTACATTACTGGCTCAAGTAATCATAACCACATATATAGTCCAGATCTCATAATTACGAGATACTGATCTTGTAATGAGATAAGCTGTCTGATTTTTTTTTTCTTTGGTGAACGCAATACGTTTCCATAGAATTCTGCAGCTATTTTCAAATCTTCTTTTTTCTCTTCCATTAAGAATATTCGGTAAAAGATAAAATTCAAAGTTTAGTTCCTTTTAATGAATTTGACTAACAAATTAACCAAAACACTTACTTATAAACTGTTTTAAATATACCTGATTGTGAACAAATAAAGAAAATCTGTGATTCTAAGTGATAAAACAGTTCTCTATTTCGAGAGAACTGTAGGAGAGAACTGTAGGTAAGAAGTAGGTTTGTGGCGTTACACAGGGACCAATTCTTGAACTTTTTTTTGCTGTAAGAAAATGTCCATAAACTTTATCGAAACACAATATATTTCATGACTAATCATGAAATTGTTACATGGAAATTGAATAATTCCAAAATGTAGTCCTTTAATTTGGACTTAATTTGAAGAAAGTCTCTAGAGTTGTTACAGCTGTGTGTGAAGCAATGGGACAAAGCAGTGGGTAGATGTCATTTGAATGCGAGGATGTTTGGGATTACAAAGATATGATTTAGTTTCTGGTTCACGGTGGTTTATTATGAGAAAGCAATGAGCACAAATATTTAATCACCGGTTCTTTTGGAACGCCTCGTTTCCTGACAGGGAAAACATGGGACAGATGTGCGTCCAGGCCTCATTTTAAGTCATCAAGCAAAGTGGTGAAACTTGCGGCTTATGTTTTTAGTTTGGGTTTTATGAGAACAAGCGTTTAAGGCTTTTATTGTGGCCCCCCCTTTCCCTCCCCCTGGATGTCCTTTAAGGCTCAAACAAAGGCACATAGATCTGTGTTTTCTAAATGAAAGTCATGATTTATAGTCTGCTTTGAATTCTTGTCAGGAAGAACTTGACTTGTTGATATTTATTATGGTTTTACTGTCAGCCAAAAAACCTTTGATAGTGTGTTTATAGGGCTGCTGTTTATTTATTGTTTTGGATAGACTTTATTGTGGCTTCATTGGTGTTTAAATCAGTTTTTTTCCTAACGTTTGCTTTCTGGTTCTTGGGCACTTCAGGTCAAAGGTAAACAGAACAGTAGCTGAAGACTTTCCTTTAAAATGGGGTGGGGGTAGAGAAGGATCAAATGAGGATGTTTTTGGAAGGAGAGACATGATTCAGAGCTGGAAGGTATTTAAAGTGCAGATTGACTGCGACTCCCAGCTTCAGTCTGGATGCAATTATGACTAAACAGACTCAAGGCAGCATGGTCTGGTTGGTGGAAAGAGACACGCATTCCTTTGGGCGCGTTTAACATCAGAACTAGGTCGTACCGAGGTGAATAAGACACCACTGTGTCTGTCGGATGTAAGGCCACTGAGTAAAAGCCAACTCTGATATCTGACAGGAGAATCTCGTGGAGAAACCCAAAGCAAAACCCTTCAGTCCTCAGGTCAAAGGTCAGCATCCCTGAGGAAAAGCAGTGGGGTAACAAGCATAGTTGCCCTTCACAAAGGTAGCAAAATCTAAACCTAAAGAGAAACTTGTAATGCTTTGCATAGTTTTTTGGCAACGTGAGACGATCAATCAGTCTTCAGTTTAAAAATGGCACCTAAAACGAGGGGTGTTCCCAACTAAGAAAGCAAACCCATCTTTCTTCCAATATTCATTAATGGATGGTAAATCCAGCTTAGGAAAAATCTGAATACAATGAGCAGCAATTGCTTCTTTTAAACAGATCTCACAACACCTTATGGACAAAAGACATTATTTTAAAATGTTCACATTTTGGACGAAGAAAACAGATGGTTTGAGAGGGGCATGAAGGAAGCCTTCTATGTTAAGAAAAAAACAACAACCTTAAACCGAGGGGGGGTGGACTCAGATATCAAACTACAATGCAACCATTGAGTTGATCCCTTCCTGCTATCGTCGCAACTGCCACCCCTTTACAGGGGAACTGAAGACCTCTCCTGTTTAGCCAGGCTAACAATTACCCTTAACAACCCTCCTTTCAGAGACATAGACAGGTATGGGGCTTTGCAGGCTAACAAAAGAAGCCAAACAACCCCCATTCCAAAGGGCGGGACCCATTTGTCTGTTTCAACTTGAAGGTTCTCTAAACAAAAACAAGGCCTTGTTGGGCTGCTGTATAAAACCTCAAACTCAACGCTATTCCTGACATTTTGAATTGAAAAAACTTCCTGGATGGGAAGCAAAACGTCGTCAAAATTGGAAAAAAGTCCACTGGATTGTTTTTTGTTTTTACTTTTTTTGGACAGATCTCAAGAAGTTGTGTTTATTCTGTCTACCGTCTGCTTTAATATAAACTTTCACAAAGAGATTCCATAAAAGTCTGGATAGATGTTAGATTCTACATGCCATTTTACTTAGCAGCATCTAACATATCAATCAATCAATGTTTTATATTCATAAAAAAATAAAAACATTTTTTAAAGGCTGATATGAGTCAAAGATATCTACAGTCTTCTGGCATTGGAAGTATTGGTGGTGTTACACTTCCGACACCATAGCCAGACAAATTTGGGTCCCTATAGCAACAAATAGCTTCTAAAGACCTCAGGCTTGTTTTACTGTCATTGCATTTTGCAAACAAGATATGATGAGGTGATGCTAATCAGAATAGGAATAAATGAGTCCAGGTTTTCAAAATGTTTAACTTCTTAACTATGCCTATTAGTAGTAAATAATGCTATTTAAACTTTCAGCACAGAGACACAAAGAATGTTCTGACTGAGATGCAATGATTATTTACGGGCTAAAATATTCCACACTTCATTTTTATTAGTATTGCACCAATACCGATACTAGTATCGGGCAGGGCCCCGATCCAGCACTAAAATGGTGGTAATGGCATCGTCGAATACCAACTATTGGGCACCGATACCATTTTGAGAGCCAAAAGTTCATTCAACTATCGTCACCCATTCCAGATAGGCAATAAAAAGTTCTACTGGATTCACTTTTAGTATTTTTCCTGCTTGACAAAGGTAGGCAGCAGCTTGACAAAGCCATGATGGAAATTATTTTAAATCTAGTATGCAGTTCTTCATATATACATACACATCAATTTCAATGGTATCGTTATTGGCCAATACTGCACAGCCAGGTATCCGGTATCAGGGCCAAAAAATGGCATTGGCGTAACACACATTTTTATCAATCCTTAAAACAGCATAAAATGTTCAAAGTGCTTTTGCAGACTGAATTTTCGCACAAATTTGGAAATCCGGACTTGATGTGTAAATATGGGTAAATCTACAACTTGTTTGTCAAGGCGTGCCTGACTTGTGCGTACCGCCTGGGTCAATCGGTTCATATTTAACTTAGCTTACTGCAAATTTCTAACAAAAATTGAATCCTTCCTGATTAATGGCATTCTGAGTGATTCATCACTTATGCTGATGACAGTACGATTTTTTTCTCCCCCCAAAACGGCAACTTTTGATCATATTTAGGGTCCTTTCTGCTGGGAAAGAAGAACATCTGGGAACTAATAAAACATCTGAAATAAACATTGGGTTTGGAGAATTTAGTTTTTTTGGCAGCTGCAGAGATTTTGCAACAGTTTCAGTGTGTATTTTGTTTCTTTTAAAGCTTTCTTTTACTCCTGCTTCTCAATATGACGATATGTTACAGTACCTATTTTAAATAGGAGCCAAGACTGACCTAAACATGGCCGACAGCTCATGTTTACCTTTCTTTAAAAGCACAACGAAATGTTTAATTGAACGGCTATTTCAGAGATAAAGAATCTGCTTCCATTGTCAGTAAACTACGTACCTAAGTAAAGACTAGTTGTTTTTTTTTCTTGTTTTGCCCTTTCTTTGTTTTTGTTCTTTACAATATAAATTTGGCACAGGTTGTTAGATTAAATAAAGTTGTCTTACAGGCTTCATGTACTTTAGTTAGCAGATGTAAAATGAATAAATGGTCAATTAGTTTTCCTGTTGAGGTGAAATATTGGTGTCTGCTCCATTTGTCTCTCTCGGTGGGTCTGGGTCGCATTCAGTCCACCAGTGATTTCAGATCTGGCAGTCCCCTCAGCTTCATGTCCAGCAGCATCTGTCCATAGGCTTTACCCTGAGAAAAGAAAAGGCCAAACGAAATGTTCCTCATGTGTTCAAACAACAAACACTCTGAATGTGTCTGGTTTCTCAGGATGTGTTGGAGTTTTATGGCCCTGCAATCTGTGTGGTTTGGCACATTTGAATTGCTTCTTTGATGTTGCAAGAAAGAAATGTTGAACTTCAGAACTTCATTTATACTGAAAAATTTTATTACATCTCAATAAAAAAAAAACCTAAGTCAGATTAACTCGAAACCAGTTAAAGGAAAAACAGTGACATGTTTCTCTTTTATATCTCCTATATATCTTATATATCACCACTCTCCCATAGGTTTCCAGTAAACTTATTGTCCCAGCAGAAACGGGTTGGTCAACATGGGATTCTTCTGTTGTTTTCTTGTGACTCCATCTATTTCATGAAGTTCAGTGGACCCTCCTGCAGCAATTTCACTGTTTGAATGGTTTAATTAGGTTTGTAGACTCCTCCCTTATATCTCCCAACATCAAAATAGCTTTATAGACAAACACTTGTTTTAGTTTCCTCAGACATGTCGGCAAAAATGATTGCTTTTGTTTTCTAAATGCATCTGTAAACTGCAATCCTGGATTTGTACGTTGCATTAATGGCTTCTTCCTCACTGAATGGCTTTTCAGCCCAGGTTGTTTAAGGATTTACTTACTAACAATGATTTACAAGACTCTTCCAGCATCTTCACAAGGTTTTTCTTTTTACTTTTGTTCTGAAATTGATCAAATAACTCAAAAATTGTATGGCTAGCCCACCTCTAAGAGTCATGATTGTGTTTTAACAGATGAGTTTAGCACTTTAGGGTCTGGAAAGTAGAATTGATACTGAATAAAGTCAAAGCCCAAAAACAAATTTTAATTACATAGAAAAAAGCTAAAAAAAAAAAGGAACAACTATCTTCATGGTGCAGAGAAGTAGAATGCTGAGAAAAAATGAAAAACAGAGATCATATCTCGCCTATCCTGGCTTCTCTTCATTGGCTTCCTGTTAAATCCAGAATAGAATTTAAAATCCTCCTTCTCACATATAAAGCCTTAAATGGCCAAGCTCCATCTGATATCAGAGATCTGATTGTTCCTTATGTTCCTAACAGAGCACTTCGCTCTCAATCTGCAGGTTTACTAGTGGTTCCTAGAATTTCTAAAAGTAGAATGGGAGGCAGATCTTTTAGTTCTCAGGCTCCTCTCGTGTGGAACCAACTACCAGTTTTAGTCCGTGAGGCAGACACCCTGTCTACTTTTAAGGCTAGGCTTAAAACTTTCCTTTTTGATAACGCTTATAGTTAGAGTGGCTCAGGTTATCCTGAGCTATCTCTATAGTTATGCTGCTATAGGCTTAGACTGCTGGAGGACATAGGGACCCCCATTTCATCATTCTGCTTCATTCTATCTCTATTCTCCCACTCTGCAGAATCTGTTAGTTCAATCTCTAACGTTCTGCTCCCTCTGCTTTTTCTCATAGTAGCTTCATCTGGTCTGTTCCTGTTTGGCTGTGACTCCATCCTGGAGAGAATTATCAGCTGTGCTGCTGCCATCAACACCTTTGTTTCTAGATGCTGGAGATCAGCCTGTTCTCCAGTGTAGTCCTGTTTCTTTGACTGTGACTAACTGGATGTGCTCTCTTCGTCCTCTGGCATGGGAGCTGCCTTGGATCTCGTCTGCCTGGCTGTGTGTTTCCTGGACGGGGTCGCCTTCTGTCTCCTTGAACCCCAGTGGGCCTCGGCAGGTGGCCGCTCACACTGAGGCTGGTTCTGCTGGAGGTTTCTTCCTGTTAAAAGGTTTTTTCTTCTCCACTGTCGCTACAAGCATTCTTAGAGTGAGGGACTGCCTTCAAGTCGATGCAATCAGCTGGTTTTCCTTAGATAAAAACTTTGAATCAATCTCACTGTATGACCTTGTGAACTGTAAAGTGCCTTGAGATGATGTGTTGTGAATTGGTGCTATAGAAATAAACTGAATTAGCTAAAATGTCCATTTAATCTCAACTAAAAGAGAAGAGATGGGGCTCTGCCTCAAATTGTTGTTTGCTAATTGGAGAAATTTGGTGTTTGTTTGCTTCCTGGAGGGGTTGATTATCCTTCTATGTAAAAGTAAATCTGAAAAGTTAATTGTGCATATTCGAGACCTTTATAATAATAAGATAAGCCATAAAACATAAACTTTCTTTAAAACTACACCAGGTGTTAAAATGACAGTTTTAGTGAAGTTAAACTTTCAGTGACCTTTTTTAGCTTTGCTCCATCCAGCTCGTGATTCAGTTGCACTGTTTTTTACACATTTTCTCCACATTTGTGTTTGATTTCGCCCAACATGCTGGGAGCACAGAGCCAAAAACTGGAACGTAAAGTAAAGCAAAGCAGCCGAAAGAAAGAAATGTTCTATAAAGCATCTTTACATCTGATAAAAATCAGTCAGAGAGGCAGATATTCTGAGTCATGGAGAGATTTCCTCTCAGCAGAGAGCTGAAAACTCAAACTAAGAAATTAATTGCTACATTGTAATTATTTCATAAAAATCACTTTTCTTGATCTGTTAGTGAGAAGCAAGCTGTGGGAAGCTGACGGCTGTGACTAAAACATGAACAAACGCTGGATATGTTGCAAGCTGTAAACTTTGTGCACAAATGAAAATGCTTCCTACGTTAAAGATTTAAAGAAACATGCATGAATTTCCAGCCTATACTTTCCTAAATATCTTAGTTTTAAATGTTTTTCTGCAGAAATCTCTGCAGGAGTCAAAACAGCTGAAGAAGCTGAGAGGCGGCCTGCATTTGTTTCATATTAAGGTCATTTCTTCCTCTAAAGGGCTGCGTTGTTTCCAGGTAGAATCAGAGCCTGCAGCAGTGATGCATGTGAACGTTACCTGGGGGTCGCTGCGTAGCGAGGCCACCCCTCCCCCTCCCAGGGAACTCCTCAGGACAAAGTTGAGGGCATGGATCCCAGGAAGAGAGTATCTGCAGAACAAGGAACGAGCAAAAAGAAAATCTGTTTAACACACCAGCCTTAGTCATACCTTCACATGTCTGCGTGTTTTTCTTGGAGCGTCGGCGGGACTTACCAGAAGTTCACGTGTGATGAATGAACGGCTGTATCACCGCTGCACACGTGCGTTGGAGAACATTCCCATTTCTAAAACCTGGGTCGGACTCTAAGACCTCCGGAAACGTGTGCGTCTGTAAGTGTTTAAAGGTGAGCGTGTGCAGGGCCCGCCTGCGGGGTTAACGAGCGGCCGCAGTGTGCTAATGAAGCGTCTGGAGGCGCTTGGAGGTGCGAAAAGTCGGCCTGAAACTTTTTATTGCGCTAATCAGAACCACAACATGTTCTGAGCCTTTGCTCCAACTGCTGCAGTTACATGGAGCGAATGTTCTTCCTTTATTGATGCAGAGAATGTGTTTTAGAAATAAACTAAGAAAAAAACATGGTCTGTAAATTAAAATATTAAGAATATAGATTTAAAAAATGAAACTTTACTGTTTTCTTATATCCTATTTATGAAATTATTGTTTTTTAAATATTTCCTTTTTTGCATATTTTAATTTTTCACATTTTTTTTTGTATTGAGTTTTACGAGTTTCAAAATACATCTTAAGTTCACTTTCTCTTCACTTGTTGTGGCGGATTTTGCTTCGTTTGAGGAGCGGAGACGTATTTGGTCTGCATGGATGTTGTTTTGGGCTTAGAGTGAAGAGAACGTTGATCTGTGGAACGCAATTTGAAAAAAATGCAACGTATAAAACTCAATGTGCGCAACCGAAATTTGAACAAATAAAATAATAATAAGAAAACAGAAAAAAAAAAACGTTATTTCAAAGGCTTTTTTTTTTTAGTTTTGTTTTACGTTTTTTGTTTTTTTTCAAAGTTTCTTTTCCAGATTGCATTTTTTATAATTTCCAATTAGCGTGCAATATTCAATAATTGCAAATAGAAACAAACCTCCTGAACTTTTACTGAAGAACAAACTTGTACGAGCTTTTTTATCATAAGCAAGATAAAGCATGATGTAGGAAAAACGTCTACAGCTCGCCATCGTCTTCTTGTTGACCAGGAAAACCTGCAACCTGCAAACCTTACATTTCAAATCTATGCTGATTTTAAAAAAAATCTACATTTTCTGCATATTTTCTTTAATTATTGAGTGTTAAGCTAATTCTTTGAACAAGTAAAAGTAAAACCTTGTGTTACTTTCACTTTTAACTGGAAAGACAATCTAGAAATAAGTAAAAATTTCTGAAATTAAGAGTATTTACCCTTAAATTGAGCAGGTATATGAGATTATTTGCCAATGGAAAGAGTATTTTTACTCTTAAAATAAGATTATTAAATAATATGCACTTGAAATAAAACAGTGCAATTGTGTTTTGTTATTTTAAGTGTAAATGTTCTTGTTTCATTGGCAAAAAATGTCTCTTTTACCTCCTCAATCTAAGAAAAAATGCACTTATTTTATGAAAAAAATGACTTATCTAGATGTCAGTACTTGAGTATTCAGTATGAACTGCAGCTATCCCAGATCGATACACTGCAAAAAACTAAATCTTGATAAGTCATTTCTTCCTAAAATAAGTGCATTTGTTCTTGAATTGAGGAGATAAAAGAGACGTCTTGCCAATGGAACAAGACAATTTAGATTTAAAATAAGAAAACACAATTGCATTGTCTTATTTCAAGTGAACACTATCTAATTATCTTATTTTAAGAGTAAAAATACTGATTCCATTGGCAAACTATCTCATTTACCTACTCAAATCAAGGGTAAATACACTTAATTTAAGAAACTTTTACTTATTTCTAGATAGTTTTTCCAGTGTAACTTAGAACTCGACTCACTTTCACACTTATCAATCTGGCTACTGCCAGTTTATTTATTCTGATCCTTTCCAGTAACCTCACCTAAACAGCTAAAGACCTGATGCATCCGTCGGTCTTCCACATTTGGACAATATTCCAAGGAAGGAAGTCAGGCTCCTCTCCTCCATTATTCTGCACGGATTGCTTTGACTTGGACTCTAAAGACTTTAACCCAACTTGATGGAGAGCTTCCAAGTCCTCAGACAATCATTGTCTTCCAGAGGTCTGTGCAGGACTTAGCATTCTAGTTAGGTTAAATCCTACGTCCCTCTATGTTGAGCTCACCGTGTGACGGCGTTGTGGACTCCAGGCTCGATCAGGTGAGAGAAGTAGTCCTCCACCACAGAAGCAGTCAGGTGTTTCTTCAGGTAGGGAAAGTAGAGAGGATGGCGAGCTATAACTCCTACAGAGACATAAGAAGGGTTAGATTATTTATCCTAGATCAGATCCTAGGGTCTGATCTTCAGAAGGTTGGTGAGTCTTAAACAAGGAAGGGCAAACATGTTCGTAAGCACAGAGTAGATCTTCAGGTGCAAAAGGATTTGTGTTTGCAATTCAGCGGACAACTGTGCAAACCTTTGCCTTCATCAATAAGCAGATCTTATACTAATGACCAAACTGTGCAAATTCATGGAATGGGGATAAGGAAATGCAAACTTTTACCATGTGGAAAACAGTTCTTTAAAATCAGAAACTAGATTTTATGAGTTTCTTTTTTTTTTGTAATGTCAGGTAGGGGTGTAAATAATAATCGTTTTGTATCGACGCATTGATCGTGTGGGTCTTTGGTCTGGTTGGGTGGGGGTCCTTTATAACAGCAGAAATGTTACGCTGCTCCACAATGCAGCACAGCTAAATATCCTCCATTAAGGTGAGAACTTTAGAAGTTTATCCAGTCTTTATATTTTCAATCAGAACCAAATAAAGTTAATTCTTCCTCCTTGTAGCCATTAAACAACAATATAATATATCTGACGAAATTGTATTTATAAATGTTTTTTTTTAAAGATTTTTAAATGCCACAATAATCACATTTAATGAATTTAAGGCCTTGATTTAAATGTTTTTAATGACCTGTGGAAACCATGTTGAATAAATCGGACCGGACTCTGGATTTATTCATGCTTCTGCTCTAGCGTGTTTTTCTTCTCTTGCAAATATCAGTCAGGAGTGAACAGTGGCGCCATCTACTGGAGCTTTCTTTTAAGCGGATGGAACATATTTTAATCAAAAAAAAAAAACACTAATCAATAATTAATCAAAGGTTGATTAGTTGTTTACATCCCTAGCAGTGGCACAGAGTGGTGTTTACTGGTATTGCTTCTAGTTAGAAACATACCGACGTACTGCTCTGTCTCATCTTTATAATTCTCACTTTAGAACTATTATACCGTTAGAATTTTGTCTGTATTTCCGCTGCTCACTGCTTCCAAGCAATCTCTATCTGGGTCTGTTGGCTCGATTAAAATGCAAGGCTTAGAAGTTCTCACCGATGTTTGCCGAGTCTCCTTTGTCGCCGCTGCGTGTGTATGCCAGGTCCTCCAGCCTGTAGGTGTGTGGTCCGCAGGGCAGGTCTGAAAAGGAACCAGAAAAGACCTGCATGTTTGGCTCAGATACTTGTAGTAAAACAGGCAAACACACATTCAGTTCCTGTGAAGTAGTTCGTTTCCTGCCAGTCCTCTGCTCCCTTCCCAATGCAACCCATTCAGCTGAAGTGAAGGCTCTCCACAAACCATGAAAGCTCCTAAAACTTCTCTGAGAACGGCAAAAATCGATGTTTACGGGAGGACATCTGTGATCACTTTAGCTCGTTTCCAACATACGCACATCTCTTCTAACAAGGACTTTTCAGGAAACATGTCTGCCCTTTAGGGACCCTTAAACTGTGGCTGAAGGATCTTTTTTTATGGAGCCATTTCTGAGTCACACGTCTGTGAAACTGAAGGCATGAATAAAACCCAAACTACTGATGCTGGTGCTTCAAACGCGGCGTGTGATTGGGGGGGTTTACCCTCAGCAATGCAGAGTCTGAGGTTCTGCTGAGAGCTGGAAGAACAAAGGGAGGGAAACAGGCGCATGTTTTTAGAGGTTAACAAACAGAGAGAACCCGGATTGCTTCTGAACGCTTCTAACAAGCATCTTCCTGCTGAGATTTTTGACTTTAACCTAGAAATAATTTCCACGCATGTTGAGTTTTTCATTTTTTTATGGACCAGAGACTCATAAAAACCCAACAGGAATCAGTCCGGTTTGAAACTGAGACGCTCGCCTGGGTGATCAGGAGGGGCGGGACTTTGGAACTTCACAACCACTATTGAGCATTTTTCCTTTGGATAAACTTTATATGCACAAGTGTACTTTTACAAACAACTACAGGTGCTTGGTTCCAGGTACTTCCATACAGAAAGCACATATTCTTATCTTCAGCTACCACAGTATACATGTCAGATTAAATAATACTACTTATACTTCAGTGATAGAATCTAGGTGGTACTTTATTGTATCTATCCGTTGGTTGTGTTGTTCTTTTTACATCTCTTTGCAGGTGATGAAGCAGACTGAAGACATTTTATCGTTATCTCCCTTTTATCTCCTCTTTCTTTCATCTTTTCTCCTTTTTTTCTGTTTTCCTTTCCTGTTCTACTTACACTGCAGAGTCCATATAATCTGTAAACCTCCCTGCATAATTATAATAAAGCTATTTATGTGCATAAATCAACGGAACACTATGGCGATAGCCGTACTGCTCCACTTGTGAAAGTCAAATCTGTTGGGCTCTTTTTGGCATCGAGACAATTATTCTTGCCACATTGCCAGACAGGACACTGTTAATAAAAAAAAAATGAAACTGAGACGACTACAGTTTGTTTACCTGTGTCGGGCACCTCCTGATCCGATGTGGGAGGAGCTTCATCCTGCTGTGGTTCAGCTGCGTCCGGTTCCTTCTCCGTTAGCGACTGGACCACCTCCCCGGCAACGTGGATGTCCACCTGCCGCAACAATGACGCTTCTGGTGAAAGTCTGCTTTATCTGGAGGTGCGGGTCTTTATTGCCGTTAAAAAACACAACAGCGTCTCCATCACACTGACCTTTATCTGGGATTTGGGATGCAAGAAGAAAAACGGTTTCAGGACCGGGGATCTGTAAATATCACAAAGCAAAGCGAAGCGCTGAAGGAATGTTGTTTACTGCGGGAGAAAAGCCCGGCGGGGAGATGGACTCACACTCTGGGTCGTCCGCCCACGATGGCGGTGAGTCCAGGAGCTGCAGGTACAGAGAGAGAGAGAGGTCAGTTTCAGGTCTACAGAGGTCACATGAGCTCCTGCATGTCTCTCAGTCTGAACCGGCTGCATTCGCAGGATTCGCTCTGAGCTGGAAAAGCAGTTCAGGAGGTCATAACCCCCATCGTCTTATCTGCAGCCAGGCGAGGAAGACCACAGTTCAATAAACCTCTGCTTCTGTTTACTGCTCGCTGTATTTTATACACCGAAGATGATAAATTAGCTTCTGGACATAAACTAATGCCTTGAGAGGAGCTTCCCTGACTGCAGAGAAAAATCCAGAAACAACTGCATGAACTTTGGTTCATATTTACAGTTTTTTTTTCTCTTGGTGATAAGAAAGATAAAAGCCTTCCTATTGGTCACGTTATCTGGTTTTTAAATGAAACAACAAACTGCTTCAGAAATGTCTGGTTATATAATCAGATGTTTTCCCTCTCAGGCTGCTGGCCAGATTTGTTCCGTCAATGTTGCAGGCAAAGAAAAATATTTGTAACATGGAAATTTGAATATGGAGTGAATTTTGTTCCATTATTGTTGCAGGAAGAGAAAAACATTTGCAAAATGGAAATTTGAATATGGAGTGAATTTTGTTCCGTCAATGTTGCAACCCAAGAAAAATATTTCTAACATGGAAATTTGAATATGGAGTGAATTTTGTTCCATTATTGTTGCAGGAAGAGAAAAACATTTGTAAAATGGAAATTTGAATATGGAGTGAATTTTTGTTCCATTATTGTTGCAGGAAGA